CAAACGGACCTGTGGTTGGGTGTTTGGTATTTCACGAGAACAATTAATTTTTTTAAATGGATTCTGAACCTTGGATTGGTTATTTTATCAAATTTTGTAGGTTTGCCAACATCAATGTCCTCCGTGCGACTATCTAAGCATGCAGATGAAGATGGAATCGATGGTTCTGAGGGCATCCCTCTTAGACGGCAGAATAATTCCTTATAGCTGACATCTGCCTTCCCCACAAGCTTGGTTGCTTCTTTCTTGAGGACCTTGCTAAGCGAATCTGTATTCTATGGAGCATCGTATCTAGCCCACCTACCGAATCATATGTTTTTCGATACTTTCAGAGATTGGTAAGAGTTTCCTCCTTTTTGTTACAGTTACAGCCCACTTCTTGAGAAAGATATTCGCCTAGATTGTAATTTTGTGCGAATCGGTTCTGCGGTGTATCTTGGCTAACATTTGCCATTCAATGAATTTCTGAAGAAAATCACAACCCCCTTTCCTCCCTGAACTTGTGTTTATTGTCTCTGTACTACTTGTTATTGCGGTCCCAATGGACGTTGGATACCTTGGATAATGACGGTGTTCACGGTTGTATAGCGCCTTTCTTGGTGCAGAGGCTACCGCTTGAAATTCCTTTTTATTTTTTTGGGTTGAAACTTGAAACCGTGTGATCTTGTTTTCGTTTGTTTTTAAGGGAGGGAAGCCTCTAAATACATCTCGCCTCATTCATTTCACGCTGCATTGAAAACATCGCATTGTAAATTTTCCCTATCACGTGAACTATAAATACAGAATCATTTTGCGTTTCGTGAGTTTGATTTTACTTTCTAAATACATCTTGCCTCGTTATTTAACTTTCTAAAACTTAAGAATCGCTCTATGTTGCATTAATTATGTTAATTCCATTATGTAAGTTTGATTTGGATGCACCAAGCTAATTAATTTCTTTTTTATTTTTCTCATCTCTACAACTCGTCAACCCAAGAAAGTTCCATTCTTAATTTCTTTCTTTTAAACTTAATATTTTCTGATTGTTAAATGTTAACACATAGTAGAGATTTATAATCAAATTCATGGGTACATGTGGCATATCTTATTGGATGGTGAGTCCCACAAATGTTCCAGAGAGCGACTTTTAAGTTTTAGGTAGACAAGACGAGAGAGTCGCAAGTCAAAGTGCAACGAATTTTGAGTTTCAACTAGTAAAGTACTTTTGAATTACAGTGGCAAAATGAAATCAAAATCAAATTCTAAAATGCGTGGTAAAAATAAGCCTAAAAACAATCCACATTTTGACAAATGTAAAAAGTTACTAACGATGATTCATCCGGTAATCCGAGCCGCGCACAACAAACTTGTGTAGTCACATGAAACCGCAGAAATTTGAATAAACTTCGTGATGTTAAAGGTACCATATACAGACTATATGCACTTGTTCAACATGCGTGTATTCCTGTATCAAAGCCTTTCAATTCCAGACCACATACACGCATATTGACCCATATGCATATTAATATTTCTATATCAACACATCAACATAGAACGTTTCTAGCATCGTTTATTGGGCAACAAAATTGTGCGAGTCATTTTCCCTTCCCACATTTTATTGCATTTAATGCCATAAGCTTTAGCACCTTGCGATAAGTCGCAACCGCACCAAGCGTTCGGCCTCGGTGGTATCTTCCTGGAAGATGAAGATACAGGTGGAGCTACACTTAATCATCTTGGGTGTGAATCTGAGGGTGCTTTTGCTTCAAAAGACTAGAGACAGAAGCACAGTGTTTCGAGTTGTAATTGCATTTCTCGCAGCACGCCTGTAGCTGTTCAATGAATTTCAGGCACCTGCAAAGTATGAGCACTAGTTACAAGGCAATAGTTAAAAGAAACTAAAAGAACATAATGCATGAGAATCATCATGAACGCATAACGTTTGACGTGGACAATTTATGCCAACAACGATCCTTTACTCCGACAGCATCTAGGGTTCCTCGAACAATGTGATATCTCACGTCGGGTAAATCCTTAACCCTTCCCTCTCTTACTGAGACTACAAAATGTTCTTGTAAATTATGGCCAATACTAGGTATATAAGTAGTGATTTCAAATCCAGAGGTTAAACGTACTCTGGCAACTTTATGTAATGCAGAGTTTGGTTTTTTGAAGGGTGATAGTGGAAAAGTTGACAGATAAGTCACCTTTACTGCCAAGTTAAAGCAGAAGTAGGCCGCATGCAATAGCAAACTTTTAGCCAAGAGGGCGCAACACCAAAATCAACTGTTACGAAAATGACAGCTTACACACTAGAAACGTGGAAGTACCAGTTCGGCTTTGAATGCATTCAAGTTTAAGTCACTCTTTTGAATGGCAGTAGAAGGTGACATCACTCAATGTTGCGGGACTCAAATGCCAAAACTTCAATAATTAGTTAAATATAAGTATAAATGATGGTCAAGTTCGCACATAATTAAGATCCGACATCAAACAACAACAACAAAACTTTATCTCATTAAGTGGGATCAGCTATATAATCTTAGAACACTACTAAGATCGGTTTTGCACCTAACTCTAATCCTAATCCAACATATTAAAAACAAATACTTGCTGGACCAGATCATCACGGTTCTAGTTTGATAACTAGGAGAAGGCCTTACATTCAGAATAACTAGAAATGTCGTGACATTCCAACCATATTCGGACCATGTATTTTATGTGTCGGTTTGACACCGAAATAGTGAAAGGTGCATCAATCACAGAACTTTTGGCTATCAACGACCAGAGGTTTGCTTCTATGAATAAAACATACAGGAGGAAACAAGTATGAAGAATAAAAAAGACAAGCTGGAAGAGAATTCCTTGAGTAAGGTCATAGCTAGTGAATGTAACCTCGTAATATGCACGTACCAGACACTCCTAAGCAACTGTTTCTAAAGACCACCTAAGATTTCATTACTACGTTGAAGAAAGAGACGGCGATTTCTCTTCTCGGTCATGTTTCCTTGTTTGATAAATCTCATATGCATAAGATAGTGAAACAACTCTCAGTCACTTTGGCTGGAGACCCTTAAGGCGCGTTTGTTAGGAAGGATTTGCTCGGATAGCATAACTCACTGGAATCAAGGCATATTGAATGAAAAACCGGATTACAACTTCCGTATTTGTCCAAGTTGAATGTAGAAGATGGAACAACCAGGAAGGAAAATTATCCCTTCTAATCGACAATATTCCTTCATGAGCAACCCATCTTCTACCCTCAACTTGGACTAAATTTTTGAAGTGTGTCAAAGTCCTATCCAATATGCCTTTGGTCTAGCAATTATCCTATCCAACCCAATCATCCCTAACAAACACGCCCTTTTACTGTCTTATTGTATAAATAACAAACTGGAAGAGTAGAATGAACGGGAGTTGTAAAGCAAGCAGCCAAACGCAGTGGTAAACCCCTAACCAGCTACAAATCACAATGCAAAAAATTTATCGATTTCCTCGTTAAATTATCTGTGACCAGCTTTTTTTTAAGTGTATTTTTGTCAATCTAAACCCTTCACTTCATTTGACTTGATGTTGACATATTTTTTTCACAAAAGAACCTCAAAACTTACGGTGGAAAAACTCAGCGACCACTTTATCAATTTCTATTATCAGAGATAAAAATGAGAAGTTACACAAATTCATCATTTTAGCTAAAAAGCCATAAGAAAGTGGCGGTGTTAGAAATGTCCCATTATTTTCTCGGCAAGCAAAGAATATTTTCTCGGTAACCAAGCAAGAGATACAGATAATAAAGAGGAGGAGGAAAAAGAGGACGGACGTACTTTTCAGGGAGGAAGTTGTTCTTGGAGAGGCATGCTTGAATGTAGCAGGCTTCTTTCTTGCACGGCTCCTTGCTTTCTTGCTGCACCATCTCCTCTCTCTCTCTCTCTCTCTCTCTCTCTCTCTCTATAACATTCGACCGTCGGAAATGTCCGCTCCTGCGCCCGGTTTCTTTTTCTTATATTTAGTGGTCTCACCGATCGACCGACCGACCGACCGGTCTTCCCACGTGTGCCGCTTCTGTCATGGACCGGCTTATTCCTTTTCTTTTTGGGAACACTGGGACTCGAACCAGTTCGAATTTTGGAAATTTTTTTATCCTCTACTTCCACAAAATTTTAACTTTACCTCGTTTATTATGTCTTACTTTAGATTTTGTATCATCTATGTCCCGTCAAGTGAATTGAGAAAAATATTAGTTTCAAGAACTTTTGATCTTTTTGACACGTTAATATTTTGGCCAAATTGGATAAATAGTTCTTATAATGATAGAACATTTAGAAGGCAGCTTCATAGTAAAAACAAACTAAATTTTAAGCTCTCGTAGTGTAAACTGTTAACAAATTTAAACCCCACCTCATTTTTCTCTGTCGTCACAACTCACGACCCACCCACCATTCCCACCATTTCTATCTTTTACTATATTTTTAATTGGTTTAGTTTCAATTTGGTACGGACCTATTTTAATTGGACACAATGAATTTATTTATTTCTTACATGGACACCAATCGTTGTAATGTGAGGTATTTTTCATCTCTACATGGAATTTACAAGGTATTTATTCATTACTTACATGTCGTAAAACTAAGTGCTAAGTGAAAAACAAGAACCATTCTTTTGATGGTTAGACCGCTGAAGGGACCAATAGTGTACAAATTTCAAACTTTAGGGGTTATTTGATATTATAATTTTTTAGATGATCCAAAGTTAAAACTAAAGAGTAAAGAGGGTGCAAGATGTAATTAAACGTTTTCCAATTGTTTGTAGAACCAAATAATGCCAGAAGGATGCTCGCAAGATCCTCTTGTAGATCATCCAATTATATTCATTTATTATACATAATGCGATAAAAAATTATTATAAATTTTTTATTTAAAATTAAATAAATAGTATTCAATAAAAATTAATCGTAAGATATACGATGAACAGATTATCTACTCTCCAAATAATGATTGACGCGCAGTATATAAGATACCTTCTCCTCCCGGTTCTCCTAAAAATAGAAGCTCCTCCGTCCTCCGTCCTCCGTCCTTCGTCTCTCTCACAATCAGAGACACAGACACAGCAAAAAATGGAAGCTACGAAGGCATGGATAAACGCTTTCAGAGCAAAATCAGCAAGCCACGCTGCTTTGGCTCGAGGGCTTCCGAGAGGCCTGCTACCTTCACCGCGTCCTCATCCTCTGCCACCGGTCTCTCTCTCTAGAAATAATTACTTCAATCGCACGCTTTAATTATTTTGATTAATTTCGGTTGAACTGCCCTTACTTCTTGTTTGGTTGCCGAGAAAGCGGAGCAAGCAAGAGAAGAAAATTTGCTTTCTTTTGCTTATGTTTTAATTAGTTAATATTTTATTTATCATCTTTAATTTGTTATGGCAGGTCGAGAAAGCTTATGATACGAACAGGACAGTGTTTTCTATTAAACGGCTTCATTTTCTTAGGAAGGTAAATTTCTCTCTGTTTTTCTCATGATTCATGAAAGTGAATACAGTTTAATGCTTCAAGGAATGGCTTTGAATTGTAGTTTTATAAATCTGTGAAATTTCGTGTGCTTTGCTCGTATTTTTCGACAGTTACAAAAATTTCCCTGGATTGTGATGTTTTAGACTAGTCATTTAGTCCATCTTCTGATTTTTCTGTGTTATTCGTAGTGGTATGGTTTGATTAAACTGAGTAGTTTCAGGCCGTAAAATTTCCTATAAGTTGTATCTTCTTAGAGATGCGAGCGAGTTGATTAATTTGCCAAAGCTGTAGGGTGCTCAATATAAGATGCATTTTATCAGGTTTTGTTAATCTTTCTGCGAATATGAAGAACTACTTGATAACCACTTTTTAATGATTATACTACGATTGAGAGCGATTGTGGCAATCTACTACTCCTCAAAGTATTTACAAAGATGAGTGACTGGTGTCCAAATTTTGATCTTGCGTTCTTTCTATGTCATCTAGTATGGATGAAAAATGTCAATTTAGGAAGGACAAAGGGAAGCAAATCGAGGTTTGCCGTACTAAATTAAGATGGACTTGGGTCAAGCAAAAATATTGTAACATATGTAGAAGCTATGAATAATGTTGGATCAAAGTAGAGGGATAAGAATGATAGAAGAAGGTGCGCTTTATCTAATTGGTGAAGAGAATACTTTTTGAGTCTTTGACATCAAAGTGAAATAGACTGAATGAAGGAACTTGAATGTGATGATATAGACGATTCTTTTGAATGATATTATCGAGGTTTAAATGAATCAGTTAAATTAACGATTTTTATGTCACAGTTTGGCTCTACTTTTCTATCTATATAAATGGCCTAGTTTTTTTTTCCTGCTGAAGGTAAATGTCGATGCTGTCAAACTTTTAGATGCTTATATGGTCGCCTTAGTTTTCATGTCCCAGTATTACCTCTACATAGACATCAAGTAAAGTAAAAGCTACTTATAAAAGTGCTTCCAGTGTTTTGCTGGACAAAGTGCATCCTAAATCTGCATGTGTTAGTATTGAAATTCAAATTTCCTAATCTGTCTCTTTGCAGTATAATTATCCTTAACTCAGTCATCATCCCAACTCTACACTGGATATTACCTGATAGATGCCCAGAATATAGTTCTCAAGAACTCTGCTCATTTGGTGGTATATTGAAATTTTATTCCTTCTTGCGGCAGGGACTTGTACAACTCTTTTATGTGAGTATGCAGCCAATTTAAGTTCCTCATTTGGTGCATGGACGGCATTCTATTGAATATTTCTTAGTAGGAAAAAGGATGAATATGGATTTTTTGTGTAATGTTTTACCTAAAATTAAGTTTTGTAATCTTTTCGCGATGTGGCTAAAGAAAGTGTTTAGGGTATGCATCATGTAATATCTGGATGTTTAAATTCTTTGTTTCTGATTATATTTCTGTACTGGTATGTAATCTTGGTAAGTTTGTTATCTTATAAATATTTCTTTATCATTATAGATGCCCGAATTACTGAAGGGATTTAATCCCTTTCTCAACTCACAGAACATATAATTTTTGTTTATTTCATTTATTTATTTTTGCTTTGCAGGTAACTTGGTTCTACCCACTATACGTATTCAGCACTATCCTGAGCGACATCTGGTACTCAACAAATTACCCCCTTATGCTTCATTGTTTTACCTCTACATTATTTACTTGATTCTGTTTTAACTACCATTGGAATTAACTGAGCCCTGGTAAGGTTCACATCTATATCTTGCAGTGCAGAATGTTAAAAGTTCTGGAGGTCACTATGATCCTTTAGTTGTTAATATATGATAATTTGTTTAAAGTTCTGCATGTCTTGATATGCCTTTTCTCTTTCCAATTTCTACCATGTGATTATCCAAATCAACAATTTTATTTTAACTGAAGGTACAATGATATTGCTAAGTATGGATTTTCTTCAATGGGGAGGTCCGCGCCAACCACATTGGATCCTGTCAGACAAAATGAGGCATTGGTCTTACAAAATAATGTTGGTCCGGAAAGACCTGCTGGCCTGGGAGGGTAATTAACTTATTCTTAAATAGAGCTTACGTTTTTTTTATTATTGTTGTTATTTTTTATATTTATTATTTCTGACATTTCTTGTTGAATAGATATTTATATATCTCATGAGTTGTGTATGCATCTGTTTAATTTGCAGGGTCATGATTGGTTAGGAGTGCAGATGTATTCAGTACTTCTTTTGAGTTGTTTCTTCCTAGAGGTATATATATCTTTTATTCTGTATTTATTTGGGTGTATGGAATTATAGAAGGTGGAACAGGAGTTAGATTTCATACTTATTAGACTTAGAGAACGATAGAGAAAAAGAGAGAGGTGCTTATTTTCAAATTGCAATATGCTCCATGGTTTATGTGTCACTTTATGAATGACAGGCTTGATGGCTTCTGCAGGTATATGTGACAGGATTTATATGTGGTGGGACGGCACTAAATTTTCTGCTTCTGTCCTGGATCTATGCTTATTACTGTTTCGAGTATGTGGTGCATATGCCTTTTTGGATTAATATTTTGCACTCACTAATTGCCTAGATAAGTGTGCTAATGCACCTTTTGAACTCCTGGATGTATGCTTATTACTGTTTCGAGTATGTGGTGCATATACCTTTTTGGATTAATATGTTGCACTCACTAATTGCCTAGATAAGTGTGCTAATGCACCTTTTGAACTCTTTTAGGTACAAATGGAATTTTTCTGAAGTTCGTCTTGAAAAACGGCTGGATTTCTTCGAATCTAATTGGGCATTTTTTGCTGGTTTTGGTAAATATACTTCCATTCCGGTTAGTTTCAGTTCATATGCATTTTGTCCCCTTCAAGTGAACGATTATTTATCGTATGCAGTTTCCTGGGCCACATTATACACTGTTTATTTCCACGTTGAAAATTATGCTGATATAGATCTTCACTTAGAATTTTACTTTTGCGGCTTCCTCATGACACATGCTTGTGTAATTATAATTACCAAATGCTGAGACACCTTTATCATGTGCCTTCACTTTTTTATTTTTGGTCAGTTCTGTTTTCACTTATTTGGAAATCAACATGTGATCAACTGTATTCGATGGTTGATTTTGTTTGGTTTGAAAGGAAAAAAACGAAGAGATAATATTAAGTACTCGTTTGTGTCTTATTATATGTGTATGGAATAGCTGCTGTAGGGCTGAATCATGGTGTTTAAAGTATAGGATGTTGATTAGGTTGTAAGCAAGACAAAAAGCAAAATAAAATAATAATGATGATAATAAATTAATAATATAAATAAAAGCCGAGACAGTTATAAATAAACCCTCTTGAAATGCAATATTTTGAATACTTAATATTTTGACTTCAAGAGCATGTCACATGGGCTTCAGTTTTGAATGATTTTAAGAATTACTCTCTTCTCAAATACTGTGGGATATGTTAGCAGCCGTAAAGTGATTTTGGTTGAGGTTTTCCTACTTGTAATCAGATCCCCTTCAGAGATTTTCTTGTTCTGTTCTTGGTGGATTTCTTATCCACTTCTGTGTAATTCACTTTTCTTTTTTAATAAATTATTATAGTTTCTTCTCAAAAAAAGAAAGAGCATGTCACATGGGAATATGTTCTAGATATTTTAGGCACATAAACATTTCTGCATTACCTATATTTAACATTCGTTTACATGTTTGGAGGTTATTAACATCCTCTATGGTTCTGCAGGGGGCCCTTGTGTTCTGCCTATACTCTTTTTCTCACCTCTTGTGAGCTATGGATTTATGGCAATTCTCTTTCCATTGGTATATTTTTCTTTTTACTTTATTAGCTATTGACTCTGCATAAAACTTGACCATGATCATCTTGTTATTCACATGTGGTAACCGTAGATGTTTTCAGTTTGTTTTGACAGCAACGGGCTCAGAGGCTGAGCAAGTTATTTCTTCTCAAAGGACAAAATGGGAAGGTGCTGGGTTGGGAAAGCTTCCAATATTTAATGCTGCAGATAACTTATCGTAAGCCCCTCATTACTTATGAATATATGATCTCTGTGTTTCAAATACGTTAATTCATACTTGATCTTTGGGTTCCTTTTTGTGGATAATTCTAAAAGAAATATCGTAAGCCCCTCATCCGCCCTCATCTCTTTTGTTTTTTGTTCTTGAATTATAGAGCTCTAGTATTTGTATGTAATAACTTTATGCTTAAGCGCGAAAGGAGGGTGTAGGCTCTCAAATTTAAAACTGCTACATCAATGAAATTATTGACAATATGTTCAGTATTACATGGTTGGTCCTGAAATTGAGGAAGTAGCATTATTTGAGTTCTAATAGGGTTACGGAAAGTGACATTTCTATCTGTTTTGACTCTTGATTGATCTTGTACAGGACGCGGGTTTTGTCTCTGTTTCCCCTGGAATCCCAGGAGTTACTTCAGAAAAAGAAAGATCGCTAAAGTTTGGCTTAGTGTTTATACAATTGTAAAAAGTAAGTCGAAAATTTTCTCTTTTGCCGTAAGGTTTCTATTGTGCTCCCATTCAATCAACAAAGTTGTAGATGTGTTGCGTTGCGTTGCAGTCTTTATCTGATTGATATGATAATAATTTCTTAATTTAAATGTAATGGTTCAAGATAGGGCGTCAACGGAAGGGTTTCATGGTTCCATTCTGTATATTGTATATAGAAAGCAGGTGTTGATGTTCGTTTTTCGATTCCTCAGTTGGCAACTTATATCTATATGTTGTCCATGAGGTTTCCTGCAATTTTCACTTGTGGACTCGTGGTTTCGGTTTCTGAAATTGAAGTTGTGTAGCTTGCTCAAGATTTCAGTTAAGGAGCATCTGTTAAATCCTGGATGTTGGAGCTAACTCTTTTAACTCTTTTACTAACACTGCCCAGATGGTAGAGGATTTGAGTTTGGATGCTTTAAATCTCAATACCTCCACTTAAATTGATGGAACAAATTTTGATAATTCTATCACATTTTGCTTTCATACCAGCTATGGTGAGGGAGGGAAAGAACCAAACTTAAAACCTCAGATGCATCGTAAAATCAACTAAACTACAAGCCTCTTGCTGCGGTTAGTATAGCTTAAACTGTTGGGATAAGGAGTCGAACTTGAGTGCACATACAAGAGCAACTTGACTACTAATATCTTTTTTTTTTTTTTTTTGTATTAATTTAGAATATTCTTCTTTGTTACAAGCGATATTACTACTCTGATATGCACTCAAGAGAGTGGGGAATCTAAACCTAAGAGAGTGGGTTGAAATGAAAGATCTTATCCACCTGGGACTCGATATTAATTTGAAATATTAGTTTCCTTCCATATATACAAGGATTTTATATGATGTTATGAAGTACGAATACTCTGGATTTTTTAAATATTATATCTTTGGTTAAAAGCATAAAAATTAAGGTATAACAGTTAACATTTTTGAACCCTCCCACCATAGAATTTTTGTATGCATGATGCAGTTATGCTAACATATATGGTGTGTTTGAAGGTACTTTTAAAAATAATTGAAAATATGTTTGGAAGTACTTTAAAAATGACTGAAAATGTTTTTGGAAACAATTTAGAGTAAAAATGAAAATGTATCCTGATAAAAAACACTTGAAATATTTCCTGCAAGAAGCACATCTGACATTTTTTTTCAAAATGCACTGTTTTTTAAGTTAAAATACACTTTTTATTCACCCATTTAAAAGCACTTTCAAACGTATCTATCAGTACACGCTCTTTCTTCAGCCACGCGCCGTATAAGTACCCAATCTTACCAAAGCAGCACTTACGACACATATGATTGGAGCACGAGAAAGCGCGTGGAAGCATAATTGAAATACGATCTTATTCCCTCGACAAATGGATAAAGTAGTGCACCGCTGGTGGCTCCGTGACCGTTGATGATGATCGAGCAAACCAAACAAGACCCATCCTGACCGTCCATCCACTTCATGCGAACAGTCATCCTGCTAATTGATAAACTTAAGCGTGTTGGGATTAAGTTAATCATTTTTTTCCAACTTTTTGTGAGCGTATAAGTCAAACTAATATCCAATAACTTAAATCACTTAATTATGCTTAAGCCTTACAGCGCGGGAAATTAATTAATCCCAGTTTCTTAACCTTTTCCTGCGTAAATTGCGGGATTAGTGTAACGCTCAACGATGCTAATTACGCGTAAATTATTATTAAGTGAATATGCTTAGCATATGTATTTTTAACATTCTCTTATGAATTAGGTGAAAGATGAGTTTTGTCTCCTAAGCCAATTGCCAACCCTAGGGTTTCACCAAGTGGGAATTGGATCATCTTTGGATCAATTCTCTCCCGATCCTCTCAATTTTGGCAATCAACTTTTAGCAGTCCACTCGAATGGAAAAGTGCATTGCTAATAGTTGGTTGCCAGAGTTGAGATTACACTTGCTGTTCATTATTTTTCAAATTACTAAGAACTATGTTTAATGTTTTAGGATATTGCATTAGTATTTTAACGAAATAAAATGTTGGGGAGACTACATGTGTACCATCTTATGTGACAAGTGAGGTGTACATGTTATATCAATTAATGAATTTATGACATTGTATATTGATTGTATGTGTTAGTTGCTGCATGAGATTGTACATGGTACAAATATGTGATTTCCTTAGCATTTTTCTTTGGTGAATATTAATAGCACTTACTTACATGAAGAAGTATTTTTTCACTTCATCCACATTTACTAACACCGACGGGATAAAATAAATAAATTTTCCAATTTAATTCTTTTTTATGCCTAATTGTGTCTCCTACATTATAATTTGTAACTCAATACTTAAAAATCAAGGAGTAAACTGATCAAGAGAATTTAGTTAGTCTCATACTCATTCTCTCATATTCATGATTTTTCACATTTTTTTTATACAACGATGTATTAACACTAAACGTGGAGAACAATTTGGTTTCAAACACGTCATCCACAAGGCTCAAATCCAAAACCTTTCACCTACAAGTGAAGATGAAGACTGTATTATTGTAATATTAACTGCTATGACTTCCCAAATTTGTTCTATCCAATTGTGTCTCCAGCGTTATAATATGACACTTTCTTTTGTATTTAGCTTTCTCAGTCCTTATTTGAGGTTCGGTGTGATGTGGCACATGCCCAAGCGTGGCATGCGCTTCCGTTCGTCTTCAAAAACTAACAAGCTTTTTCAGTACACATAAAAATTTCCTTAACCTCATTGTTTCCATCTCCTCCAAGCTAGTTGTGGGAGCCTCCAAATTTGATCATAATTATCTATCCTTTTCATTCATTTCTTAAACAATACACATACTGAATTTAGATCGAGTTCGATTAACATTATTCATCATTTTGCTTTGTGTACACTTTGGTGGTTAATTTTCTCGTGTTTTCAATTAAGAAAATCTCGGAAGTTCATAACAATGTGCCTAAACTTGATTAAGATCTCTAACACGTGCTTCATCTTCTCTTCTCTTTTCCTAGTTGATGGTTGATGCAATGCCGATGCAGCCCTCGTGCTTTTTTTGGGGATAATATGCTAACTACTTCTTGCCCACTAAATAAAAAGGAGGCAGATCAAGTAGGGGCCAACTAGAAATACACCAGAATTTAGTGGGGACAGATATAAATAGTAAAATATCTACAAGACCCAAGAACGTAAAATTCTAACCGCTTTCAAGTGCATAAATATCGTTGTTTTACACTACTGCGATAAAGCGTCATCTGCTCTATCGTATAATTATATATAAGATTATGGTAGAAAATGATTAAGCAACGAAAAAGGGGGAACTGTACAAGTCAACATAAAAGTCACCGTCAATATTCAAAAATCTGTCACTGATCTGTCTGGTGGCTGGCTTCAACCACAACGTTATTTATTTCTCCTTTTTTGTTGTTCTTTCTTTTTCTCAAATGCCTTTTTCTTTTCTTTTCCGGATACCCCTCAAAAAGATTACTTACAGCATTTGTTTTCTTCCAGAAACTTGTAAAATGTGATTAACTATAGTGTACATATTAAGATGGTTGAAGTAATATGTCGCAAATATTTAAGGAATTGTTTTGCAAAATGAAAACGACTAATAAAATTGTGTATTTTTATGATCGGAAAAAGGTATGTACGTTAGTTTAATTTGAGAACAAAAATATTGGAAACGTGTTTGGTATTAATATACTAAATTGAGAAAGTAAACAAAATCATATTTGGCAATAATGCTTTTGTAATATAAATATATTGTGATGAGAATGGTGGTTGCAACGAAGGTGGTGATAGTGGCATTAGTGATGACTTGGTAGTGACTGCGGTGGTTGGGTATGAGTGGTGAAAATGTGATGTGTGTGTCGGGAGAAATAGGGGGTGGTGGCTAAGGCCATCTCCAACCTAAGGCTGGCTCCTCTAAGAAATTAATATTTTAATGAATAGTGCAGAGCCATATTTCTTACCATCTCCAACCGAGGGCTAAAAGGCCATAGGGCTCATTTTAGTCCTGTCACAAAAAATCATCTCCAACCAAGGGCTAAAGGGTCATAGGGTCAAACATAATTTATTATTTAAAAACTACAACTTAAATTCAAATCCAACAGCTAAATGATGTAAGCATGACGTCAGCTAGTCGTTGGATTTGAATTTTTTTGGCATGTAAATAGGGTGGATATTGGGCTATAATTCACACACCTTTGAATTCAATCTATTTCAATTAAATCTCTTTCAATTCAAGTTTGCAATGAATTCCAACTTTTGATACTCTTCGGATTCCAATTGGGGGTACTCATCCAATTCCAAATTATTTAATGTTATTTAGTGTTGTTTAATATTGTTTAATGTTGTTTCATGTTACTTGATATTATGTAATGTTTAATGGTTTGGAAAGTTATAGGGAAAAGAAAAAAAAAAAAAAAAAAAGAAGAACTTTTACAATTTTTAAAACAAATTTTGTAAAAAAAAGAAAAAAAAAAAAATCGACTGGCTGACGTCAGCTAGTTACCGTTGGTTTTCAAATTCTAGGCCAACCGGTTGGTCCTTTGGTCCCTTTTGTCTAGTGGAGCCCATGAGCCCTTTGATCTGGCTCTCAGTTGGAGGCGGTTTTTGGACTATTTTCGGCCTTCTGACCCTCTGGGGTGGTAGTAGCGATTACAAATTGGTGGGAGGTAAAAGCCAACTGACTTGCCTTCTCAGGTTTGTTTGTTTATTTAATCTCTCCCTTGTGTTCTTCTGTCTTGGATTGATTACATTTTATATGCTCTCTCTCACTCTCTCTCTCTACACACACACACACACACACACACACACACACACACACACACACACACACACACATATACATACACATCAACTTAGTTGGCTGCTAGTTTCATCTCCTTGTCCTATATCTTTTGTAATTCTCTTCTTATTATTTCCCTAAGAAAAAGGTTTGAGCTGCTCTATCTATCTGCATCTGGCAACTACTTTCCTTTCCATCTCATAAAGTGAAGAACCAGCAGCAGCTCACCATTTTTGTTGGCTTTAGCTTTTTGCCATTTCAGAGGTAAAACTTAAACAGAGATGCTCTATACAATGTGTGTGTCAAAGTTGGACAGAGAAAAGATTGTCAAGATTTCAGAGGGAGTCCAACGGCTTACTACTAATGAGTCAAATATCGATATTGTACCAAATTTAGGCTA